TATTACTATAATGAATATTTAGGACGATTTAAGGGGATTTTAGGAGGAAAATGGATTATATTTTTATTATTTTACATAGTTTTTTCATTGTTTACTTATATTTTTTAGATATGAAATTAACTTTGGTTTTGGAATTAAGAATAATGGTGACAAATAGGATTTTTCATACTGAAAAAATTCTAAGTTCCTGTACTTATAAAAAATGAAACATTACAGGCATGATGGAGATGATAAATATTTTACTATCATCATATAATAGTAATTTTTGGTGGCTATGCTGGAAAATTCAGGATAGTCAATCTACTACAGTATTTGTCAGAAAAAAATTTTTGCATCATGTGATATTTGACCTGCATTACAACATTAATGAATAATTACCAAAATTGATCATATGATAACTGGTTAACTGACAATTTGTCTTTGCCAATCAATTTGGTAAAACTCCTAAATATATTTACCGTTTTTCTCTTGATTATTGGCAATACTATGGAAACTGACAACCGTGATTTCATTGTTGTTCCTCGCCCTTCTCCTCACGCTTGTGCTGCCACTATTGGGAAATCAGCCAAAGACCTTCCTACCCCGAAAATTATCAAGGACCTCAATAATTCGTTCGTTCAAAACGACGCGAAAGCAAAACCAAACTTCATAATCCGAACTTAAAGGTACGTGTTAAAGAAACCTTATAAGGCGTTATGGAGATGTATCAATAGCACTTTGTTGAATACCGTACAACGTTACGGGAAAGCCTGCGGCTTGTCAATAAGCGTATGTTCAATGTTTAGAAAAGGGTTCCTTTTAATACCTATTTGGGGACTGTTGATTCTGAAGGAGAACCTTTCCCAAACAGTCAAAGAAACTTGACCTAGCATCTTTTCATGCGGACGTCTTGTGTTCCCATTCAGGGGCCTAATAGCAAGCGTTGCGTTAAACTACATTTTCAACTTTATTTATTAGTACATTTCTTGACGTACCGTACTATACTTACTTTTTTTTCTTTTTTAGAGTGAATTAATATCATCTAGAATTCTCAAAAAGAAATTCTGGTAATCATTAATCCCGGATGAAACACACAATTTTCTGGTTGATTTTTTTTCACAAGTAAGGACAAATTGTATTACGGTTTTAATTGCAATCGTCTCCTAATATGCTTAT